ACAAATGAAGACTTGTCTCTTTCCAAACGCTCTTAAAGGACGATCGTTTTGACTGTTGACCGTGACACCCTCATCAGAAAAATGTCCAACATGAGAAAAGTGGAGCCGAGTGCAGGATTTTACAACAAAAATGGACTTATTCCTGTTTACAGACAAGTTCATGTTAAAACTTTGTGTTGAAAATTGAATTTTTCTTAAAGTTTCAGGTTGTTCATAATATTATAATATTTTGTAAAAGAAAGAGTTCATCAATTAAAAAAGATTTCTGTAATAGATTTGTGTTTCTCTGCACAAATATTTGAACTTATTGTTATTTTTGGGGTTTATATGACATGAGTTTTCTGATCCGGACACTTTGGATCAAAGTCGGTTGGACTCGACCCCCGGAACAAAATGAGTTTGACTCTCCTGATCTAAATCTTGCCGCTCTGGGCCGACAGTCGACATGTTGCACCTTGATATAAAGCTTATTACAGAAATGTAATAACATCTACAAAAAGATAAATGTTCAAATATGTGGAGGTGCATCAGGAGTCATTAGTGCGTCTGCGCCACTGAGTGTCTTCGCTCAAGTTAATTTCTGTCCAGCGACTAGATCAGGAATCAGAAAACACTAGATGATTTGTAAAAAGCCCGGAAGTGTGAGTTCGGACTCCGGCCAATCAGAGAAGAGACAGACATTCTGAGTTGGTAACGATTCCAGAGATCGAGGATCTAAAGTCGGAAAAAAGAGAATATTTGGTGAATTTTGATCAAGAGGAAAGACGTTATTGACATTCTTTCTGCATTACAAACGTCACGACCAAACAGCAGCGATTGGTTAAATTAAAAAAGTCCCCGCCTACTGTCGAGTGAACAAATCCTAATGCTGTGAGGTCACACGGTTTCCACGAGTCATGAATCAGACTAATGCCGAACTGCACCTGAACGTCACATGACTCATTCAGGTGTTTACACCAGAACAACACTGAGGCTTTAAACGCTCCTGTGTCTGATCCACAATACAGACAACAAAACAAAAACACAGACACACACACACACACACACACACACAGACACACAGACACACACACACACACACACACACACACAGACACACACACACACACACACACACACACACACACACACACACACACACACACACACACACACACACACAGACACACACACACACACACACACACACACACACACACACACACACACACACACACACACACACACACACACACACACACACACACACACACACACACACACACACACACACACACACACACACACACACACACTGGATGATTTAGTTTTTCCAGACGATATTTCCGCGTCAGGATTAAAGACACTTGTTAGTCGAGTCTTGTGATGTGGGAGGAGCCTGTGTCAGTGTTTGTTTGTTGTTTGTCTCTGTGACTCTAGAGTGTGAACATGTGACTGGACACGTGTTCATGTGCGAATGACCCGTACACACACGTGTGAATGGAGCAGATCTGGGACCAAGACGTGGTTTTGCGAGTCTCAAACCTTTTACCTCAAGTCCGAGTCAATTCCCAAGTCAAACACAGGCAAGTCCAAGTCGAGTCTCGAGTCGCTGGTCCACAAGTCCAAGTCAAGTCCAAGTCAAGTCCAAGTCAAGTCCAAGTCAAGTCCAAGTCAAGTCCAAGTCAAGTCCAAGTCAAGTCCAAGTCGTCTGCTTTGAGCTTCAAGTCATTTCAAGTCTTTACAGCTTAGACTTTTGGCAATTTCTATGAATTTTTAACTAAATTGTATTTGTAAAGTCACAGAATATTTATATTTATATACTTTTTTAGTATTTTTAGTATTTTAGTAGTATTTTTAGTATTAGTATTTAGAGTATATAAGAGGTGTAGAAATTAATTTAGTTATTTTTTCCTTTTTAAATGTCATCATGTCGTCAAGCATCACAGTCAGAACAGAAAGAATTCAGATTTCAAAATGCTTCTCAAGTCACCGAGCTTCAAGTCCGAGTCGAGTCCCAAGTCTTCGTCCATTTTATCAAGTCAAGTCTCAAGTCCTAAAAATAGTGACTCAAGTCTGACTCGAGTCCAAGTCACGACTTGTAAGTCCCAACCTCTGAAGCGATGCAGCATTTATCGTGTGACAGTGAGTTTTTATTTTGTTTAGACGTTAGAATGTGATAAAAATGTCATTAATCCGACCTGTTGTCTTTAAATCTGACGTAAACAAACAAAACAACAGAAAATGTCGCCTAAACAAACACAATTTAAACCTTATAGAGTCAAATCGAACTTTTATAATCAGATGAAGATTCACAGGGAATTTTAACAAAACTAAAAACGTCCTGTTTTATCGGAAACATATCGGATTAAAAAAAAAATCCACAGTTCTATAGTTCTAAGTCACTCGTACAGACTCGTAGCAGAGATCACTAGATTACTCAAACATGGATGACATCTCTATTATCAGAAATCTCCAAAAGAAAACTCCACAAAGTCACGAGTGAAGCTCCGTTCTCCAAACACATCACAACATCTGCAGATTCCACGGAAACAAAGTTAAAGCCACACTCCGGAACATTCTCCACGGACACGGACGGGCTTTATGTGAAACATCACCACGGAAACAAGCAGCAGGACGAGTCAGGTCTGTGGAGACGCGAGCCCGCGCACGGTCAGGACGTTTCTCCACGTTTCTACATTTCTGTGTTCGAAGTTTTACAGTGCAATAAAACAAAACAAAAAAAAAATAAATAACTAAATAAAAAATAAAAAATTGACCATCTGAGTTAAACTCTTTTTTTTTTTTCTAACTCCAGACAACTTTGCACAACATTTTCAAAAACAAATCTCAAAGCTCTTTCCTGCTTCCTTCATTTCTGTGTTCCAAGTTTTTCAGTGCAATAAAACCTCAAAAAAAAAAATAAATAAATAAATAAATAAATAAGTAAAATAAAATAATAATAATAATAATAATTTAAAAATAAATTAAAATAACTAATTACTAAATACCTAAATAAATAATAATAAAAATCTTAAAAATAAATAAAATAAATGCTATTTTTCAGCTAAAAAGTTCCACAGTAGGGCTTTAACTCCACATTTGACCATCATAAACACATTATTTTCAAACTCTAGGCAACATTTCACAACATTTCCAAAAACAAATCCCAAAGCTCTTTTCTTTCTTTCTTTCTATGTTCCAAGTTTTTCAGTGCAGTAAAAACATCTGAAATGTTTTTATTCAAGTGTATTTTTGGCTATAAAGTTCCACAGTAGAGCTTTAACTACTAACCTCAGTCAAACACGACGCTGCGTCTGACACCACTTTCAAAACCGAAAGTGGCGCTTGTTTCTATGGATACGTCACTACTACTACACCGGAATGTTCCACAGTGAGACATTAAACAGCTCCACTTCACGTTTATTCAACTCAAAAAACACCTCGCCTCTCCACAGATCTGACCTGGAACTGTGTCAGGTTTGGTCTCCGTGGAGATAGAAAGGTTTAATGCCGTACTCAGTGTCGGGGAGTAACAGATTACATGTACCGGAGTAATCAGAGTACAAATGATGAGTAACTGTATTCAGTTACAGTTACTGTTTCAGTGAGTGGGAATTGGATTACAGTTACTTTGTTGAAATAAATGGATTAAACAGAGAGATTTTACTGTTTTCACATTTTGGGAAAAACCAGGACTAAACCAGGACTAAACTAGGACTAAAACCAGACTAAAACCAGGACTAACCCAGGACTAAACTAGTCCTAAACCAGGACTAAACTAGGACTAAAACCAGGACTAAAACCAGGACTAAAACAAGGACTAAACCAGGTCTAAACCAGATCTAAAACAGATCTAAAACCGGACTAAAACCAGGACTAAACCAGGACTAAAACCAGGACTAAAACCAGGACTAAAACAGGACTAAACCAGGACTAAAACCAGGACTAAACCCAGGACCAAACCCAGGACTAAAACCAGGACTAAAACCAGGACTAAACCAGGACTAAAACCAGGACTAAAAACCAGGACTAAAACCAGGACTAAAACCCAGGACTAACCAGGACTAAAACCAGGACTAAAACCAGGACTAAAACCAGGACTAAACCCAGGACTAAACCCAGGACTAAACCAGGACTAAACCAGGACTAAAACCAGGACTAAAACCAGGACTAAACCAGGACTAAAACCAAGACTAAACCAGGACTAAACCAGGACTAAAACCAGGACTAAAACTAGGACTAAAACCAGGACTAAACCAGGACTAAAACCAGGACTAAAACCAGGACTAAACCAGGACTAAAACCCAGGACTAAACCCAGGACTAAACCAGGACTGAACCAGGTCTAAACAATATGACACTACCAGTAGTTGAACATCATTTAAAGCAGCAGTGTCTCATATAAAAATCATTTCTTTATCAGTAATATTTGTAATATGCTTAAGTAAAGTCTGGACTTTTTATTTTTTTTAGCAGACAAAACATTTTACTTTAAAAAAAAGTCTGTTCATGGAGACTTGGGCTCAACAGACGATTTGAAGAAAACAAACATGAATTTTCAGGATGTTTTTGGTACAATCATGTCGTTTTAAAAAGTACGACAATATCAAGAAATTCAAAGTATTCAGATTACGTTACTCACTTTAAGTAATTTAATGGATTACGTTACAATCTACATTTTGGGATATGTAATCTGTAATCTGTAGGGGATTACATTTTAAAAGTAAACTTCCCAACACTGGTCGTGGTGAAATGTGGTCATGTCTCTTCTTTTTGTTGTTTGCAGTTTTTAACATAATTTTTGTCTGAATATTTGAGCTAAAAGTAAACTTCCCAACACTGGTCGTACTGTGGAACATTCCAGACCAACAAATAACATCTCCATGGACTAAAAAAGTAACACGATGCACTTTTCAACACGTTCAACACGACAGAGACACCGGAGAATCACGGGAGGGCATCTGGACTCTAAACACTTTAAAGAACATTTCCAAACGCAGACTCTTTGTTCTTTCTTACCGAGTTGATGCAGGCGAGTTCTTTGTTGAGCAGCCAGGGCAGAGACAGCCTCCCCTCTCCCTTGTAGCACGACTGGATCCGCTCTTTAATCTTCTCCTTGATTTTCCGAAGCGTAAACAGACACAGCGCCGACTCTTTGGGAGGTTTGGCGCGGTTTTTCTGACCCTGAGAAAAAACGGTGAACAGAATGTCTTCGTCCTCCGAGATCCCGAGCGAGCCGGCCAGCTGCTTCCCCGGCTTGGCGAGGTAGGCGTCCTGCACCAGTCGGTACTCCACGCCGTCTTTGGTACACCCGATGGGAAACTCCACGTACGAGTAGAACTTCGGATCGTCGACGCACAAACGCACGATTTTGGACGTGAAAAACTGCTCCCCGCTGGCGTCCGGGGAGGTGAGCTGCGTGTCGAGCTGCAGCGTGAGGTAATACACGAACTGCTCGCTGCTGAAACTGTAAACGTAATAAATATCGAACGCCGGGAATTTCGACAACGTGTCCGACGGGATTTTGAGCTGCGACGACACGAACTCGTCCTGGTAAACGAAGCTGAACATGTCCGCGTCCTCCTCGCTCTCCATCAGCTTGCGGCTGGAGAGCGTCGGGAAATACTCGGACTTCCCGTCGATGGGCGTCCCGATGAAGAGTTTGCTGGTCGGGCTGTTGGCGTACGGGATGATGACGCCGGACATGGTTCCGGACTCGGAGACGCTGGAGAGGTAGTGCTCCTTGCGGTGGTGCGGCTCTCCCAGTTTGAACAGATCGTCGAGCCGCAGGAACTGGCAGATTCCTTGAGACGTACTCCCGCACGCGATGAGCCGGTTCCGCGAGTAGTCGATGAGCAGGAGCTTGTTGACGTTGGGCGTGGACGCTTGTTCGTGCGGACAGGGCTGGACGCTCGGCGGCGGGTAGCACTTCTCGCTGTCCACCACCGGCCCCGTCATGTGACTCCGCAGCTTCGTCAAGTTGCCGGAGAGTTTGTAAATCCAGTTGACCGCGCCCACGTAGACCTCGCCCGTTTTGTTGTGAATCGCCAAATGCGTCAGGCCGTGGTCGGACGGGGCGAAGCGTCGGAAAGGAGCGGTCTGCGAGAGGGAAAACGGCGAGAAAACGACGAGCAGGGCGACGATCTGGAGCAGGGGTTTCCGGAAAGCGCCGGGAGTTTGGGAGGCCATGTTGGAGGCGGTGAACGAGGGGGGAGGTTTGAGGGGGAGGGGAGGGAGAGACGCGGCGTTTAATCCAACGAAATCAGGATGGAAGGTTTTTTTAGATCCGTTCAAAGGGGAAAAAAAAGTGGAATTCCAGAGGTTTGAAAAGGCGAGATCGGAGAAGGAGAAGGTAGAATCCTATTCAGGTTTAGTCCGATTGGAAAAAATCCTTGGAGTGGAGCCGTACATCCTTCACCGACGCACGAGCAGCAGCCTGCGAGACAAAAAACAGGGAAAACATCAGGAAACGTGTAAAGAAAATGAAACATGTACATGACGAAAAAGGTTGAACTGTGTCACTTTTCTGCTTTTTGTACATTTTTTTTTCACATGATTTTTGTAAATTACAAAAAAAATTAAAAAATCTAAGAGAGAGAGAGAGAAGACTGGATTAAATTAAAGAGGAAGAGAAAAGAGAAGAGAGAAAGAGAGGAATAAAAAGAGAAAGTAAAAAAAATAAGAAAGAAAGAAAAGAGTGAAGAGAGAGAGACAGATCTACAGAGAGAGAACGATAGAGGAGCAAAAGGAGAATAAAAAAATAAAAAGAGAGAAGCAAGCGGAGAGAATTAAGAGAGAGAGGAGAAAAAAGAAAGAAGAGAGCTAGAGAGAGAAGAGAGGAAGCGATAGAGACACAGAAGAGAAAGAAATAAGAGAAGAGAGCAAAGAGAGAAATGGAGAAGAGAGCAGAGAGAAATAAAAAGAAGCGAGCAAAGAGAGAGAAGAGAAAAAAGAAATAAAAAGAGAAAGAAGAGAGTTAGAGAAGAGAGAGAAATAAGACAGAGAGAAGAGAGCAAATAAATTAAAAGAAGAGAACAAAGAGTAATAAGAGAAAGAAGAGAGTGAAGAGAGAGAGAGAAATAGAGAGGTAGATTGATAGAGAGAAAACGATAGAGAGAGAAGAGAATAAAATAAAAACAGAGAGAAGTGAGCAGAGAATAATGAGAGAAAAAAGAGAAGAGAAAAAAGAAAAATAAAGAAAGAGGGAAGAGAGCGAGAGAGAGACAGACAGAAGAGAGATCAACGAGAGAAATGAGACAGAAAGAAGAGAACAAAGAGAAAAATAAAGAGTGAAGAGAGAGAAATGAGAGAGAGAGAGAGAGAACAAAGAGAAATAAAAAAGAAGAAGAGAGGAAAGAAAGAAGAACAGAGAGAGAGAGAGAGAGAGAGAGAGAGAGGTGGAGGAGGGGTGTAATCTCTTTCTCTCTCTCTCTCTTTCTTTCACCAGGATATTAATGTTATTCTAATATTATTCTAATGCACCGAGTTATTAAAACACACTGTCCATCTGTCCCTGTCGGTCCCTGTCGGTCCCTGTCGGCCCCTGTCGGCCCTGTCGGTCCCTGTCGGTCCCTGTCGGCCCCTGTCGGTCCCTGTCGGTCCCTGTCGGTCCCTGTCGGTGCAGAGGTTTTCACAGAGGAAGAGCTTCAGACAAAACAGTTTTTATTACATTTCATATTCTGTGTCTCGTGACTCTGTAAACACGGAGCTTCTGTCTGAGCTTTAACTCCTCGTTTTTATTAAGTTACGACAAAAAATTTAATAAAGTACGAATAAAAAGAACACGTGAGAGGAACGGGAGGGCATCTGACACACGAGAAGAACGGGAGGGCATCTGACGCAGGAGAGGAACGGGAGGGCATCTGACACACACGAGAAGAACGGGAGGGCATCTGACGCACACGAGAGGAACGGGAGGGCATCTGACGCAGGAGAGGAACGGGAGGGCATCTGAACACAGGAGAGGAACGGGAGGGCATCTGACACACGAGAAGAACGGGAGGGCATCTGACACACGAGAGGAACGGGAGGGCATCTGACGCACGAGAGGAACGGGAGGGCATCTGACGCACACGAGAAGAACGGGAGGGCATCTGACGCACACGAGAAGAACGGGAGGGCATCTGACGCACACGAGAAGAACGGGAGGGCATCTGACGCACACGAGAGAAGAACGGGAGGGCATCTGACGCACGAGAAGAAAACGGGAGGGCATCTGACGCACACGAGAAGAACGGGAGGGCATCTGACGCACACGAGAGAAGAACGGGAGGGCATCTGACACAGGAGAGGAACGGGAGGGCATCTGACACACGAGAGGAACGGGAGGGCATCTGACACACACGAGAGGAACGGGAGGGCATCTGACACAGGAGAAGAACGGGAGGGCATCTGACGCACGAGAAGAACGGGAGGGCATCTGACACGCACGAGAGGAACGGGAGGGCATCTGACACACGAGAAGAACGGGAGGGCATCTGACACACGAGAGAGAAGAACGGGAGGGCATCTGACGCAGGAGAAGAACGGGAGGGCATCTGACGCACACGAGAGGAACGGGAGGGCATCTGACGCAGGAGAGGAACGGGAGAGGCATCTGACACAGAGAGAGGAACGGGAGGGCATCTGACGACGCACACGAGAGGAACGGGAGGGCATCTGACGCAGGAGAGGAACGGGAGGGCATCTGACGCACGAGAAGAACGGGAGGGCATCTGACGCACACGAGAAGGAACGGGAGGGCATCTGACGCACGAGAAGAACGGGAGGGCATCTGACGCACACGAGAAGGAACGGGAGGGCATCTGACGCACACGAGAGGAACGGGAGGGCATCTGACACAGGAGAGGAACGGGAGGGCATCTGACGCACACGAGAGGAACGGGAGGGCATCTGACACAGGAGAAGGAACGGAGAGGCATCTGACGCACACGAGAGGAACGGGAGGGCATCTGACGCACAGAGAAGGAACGGGAGGGCATCTGACGCAGGAGAACGGAGGGCATCGGGAGAGGGCATCTGACGCACGAGAAGAACGGGAGGGCATCTGACGCACACGAGAGGAACGGGAGGGCATCTGACGCAGGAGAGGAACGGGAGGGCATCTGACGCACACGAGAGGAACGGGAGGGCATCTGACGCAGGAGAAGAACGGGAGGGCATCTGACGCACACGAGAGGAACGGGAGGGCATCTGACGCAGGAGAAGAGCGGGAGGGCATCTGACGCACACGAGAAGAACGGGAGGGCATCTGACGCACGAGAAGAACGGGAGGGCATCTGACGCACGAGAAGAACGGGAGGGCATCTGACACAGGGGGAGGGTCTCTGCAGTAAAAGAGCGTCCGTCGTGTGGGACTCAAACCTCACACTTCACCGTGCAGCGGCTCCGACAGCAGAGACTTAAACCCTTGAGCAGGACACGCCCGAGTGCGTCGCGGTGCACAGACCCGAGCAGAGAGGATCATGGGAGAAACGAGCGGACGACAGAACAGAGGAGCACAGAGACGCACCGACACTTTTACCACAACGAGGAGTTCGTTTACGTCCTCACCGACTCCAGACTCCAGAGGGGATTTTTACAGCGATACGGAAAAAGTCACGTTTTTATAAGAGGCTTTTCCACCGTCAAGTCGCTCAGAGCCGTTTGTTTATGACAGGATATTTGAGAAATATTCACATTACTACAAAATGTCATATTACAGTCACAGTACAGCAGACTTTCACTGAAATAATGTTTTGAGCGTCAACTTTCAACTTCAACATTCAATTTCTAACTTCCAAGTTCCAACTTTTAATTTCCAACTTTCAACTTTTAATTTCAAACTTTTAATTTCAAATTTTCAACTTCAACTTTCAATTTCCAACTTTCAATTTCCTACTTTTAATTTCCAACTTTTAATTTTCCAATTTTCAGCTTCAACTTTCAATTTCCAACTTTCAATTTCCTACTTTTAATTTCCAACTTTCAACTTTTAATTTCCAATTTTCAGCTTCAACTTTCAATTTCCAACTTCCAACTTTCAATTTCCAATTTTCAGCTTCAACTTTCAATTTCCAACTTTCAATTTCCAACTTTTAATTTCAAACTTCCAACTTTTAATTTCCAACTTCCAACTTTTAATTTCCAATTTTCAGCTTCAACTTTCAATTTCCAACTTTTAATTTCAAACTTCCAACTTTTAATTTCCATTTTCCAACTTCCAACTTTCAATTTCCAACTTTTAATTTCAAACTTTCAACTTTTAATTTCCAACTTTCCAACTTTTAATTTCAAACTTAATTTCAAACTTCCAACTTTTAATTTCCAACTTTCAACTTTTAATTTCCAATTTTCAGCTTCAACTTTCAATTTCCATTTCTTCCAACTTTCAATTTCCAACTTTTAATTTCAAACTTTCAACTTTCAATTTCCACCTTTCAATTTGTAACGTTCTCATTGTCCCAGAGGGAGATTGTTGTGCAGCAGTGTCAGTGTAAACACAAAATAATAATTCAATAAAACACTAAAGCACATCTTAAGTTTAGCTCAAATATTCAGACAAAAATTATGTTAAAAACTGCAAACAACAAAAAGAAGAGAAGACGTGACCACATTTCACCACGACCAGTGTTGGGAAGTTTACTTTTAAAATGTAATCCCCTACAGATTACAGATTACAGATTACATACACCAAAATATAGTTTGTAACGTAATCTGTTAAATTACTTAAAGTGAGTAATGTAATCTGATTACTTTGGATTATTTGATTTACTGTAGAGAAACAAAGACGAGGAAATCTTCACATAAGAAGTTTTGTCTGATAAAAGAAAATAAAAAGACCAAACTTTTACTGAACCAAATTAAAAATATTATTGATAAAAGACGAAGAAACACGTCCACACAGCAGGATTTAGTCCTGTTGAATCCTGTTTTAGTCCTGGTTTAGATCTAGTTTAGACCTGGTTTAGACCTAGTTTAGACCTGGTTTTAGTCCTGGTTTAGATCTAGTTTAGACCTGGTTTAGACCTAGTTTAGACCTGGTTTAGTCCTGGTTTAGATCCTGAGTTTAGACCTGGTTTAGTCCTGGTTTAGATCTAGTTTAGACCTGGTTTTAGTCCTGGTTTAGATCTAGTCTAGTTTAGACCTGGTTTTAGTCCTGGTTTAGATCTAGATTAGACTTGGTTTTAGTCCTGGTTTAGATCTAGTTTAGACCTGGTTTAGATCTAGTTTAGACCTGGTTTTTAGTCCTGGTTTAGATCTAGTTTAGACCTGGTTTTAGACCTGGTTTTAGATCTGGTTTAGTTTAGACCTGGTTTTAGTCCTGGTTTAGATCTAGTTTAGACCTGGTTTAGTTTAGACCTGGTTTTTAGTCCTGGTTTAGACCTAGTTTAGACCTGGTTTTAGTCCTGGTTTAGATCTAGTTTAGACCTCTTTTAGTGGTTTTACCTGGTTTAG